TTTTAAAGTCAACTAGTTGACTTTAAAATAGTAAATTCAACTAACTTCTCTCTACTTATGTGTCATGTTTTAAAGTCGCCTAGTTGTCTTCGAAATTGAAAAGTCAACTAGCTCCATCTTAGTTGTCTCTTCAATTTTAAAGTCAACTAGTTCTTTTCTCAATTTTAAAGTCAACTAGTTCCCTTTTAAAGTCAACTGAATTTTAGAGTCAACTCCGACATATATATGATGTGTTTTCTTAGTAGTGTATTAGTTTCCCTATTGACATTATCTCTGCTCTGAGAAATGCTGCTATTCACATCTTCGGAGCGCGGTCAACCTGTACTCAATTACAATTCTCATCAATACACAAAGAAGCGTGCGAGAAAGACGAGCAACGAGTGGCGTTGTCGAGATCGTGGTTGTGCCAGCATGCTTTTTCTTTGCATAGTCGATGCAAAAGTTCTTCGCGAGCCCTCTACTCATACTTTTCAACAACCAGCTTCTGTCGGCAAATCTCTAGTCGACAAAGCAGTTGGTAATATGAAAAAACGTGCATGAGAGGAGACTATGCCGATCCCCAAAATCTATACACAAGAAATCGTTAAAGCTCATAGGGTGTGGGTGTTGATGAGGATATGGATATGGCTCTAGTCTTCAACCACACCCACACCCAACCGAGAATCTCGAGCTCCTTCTTAACGACCATAAGGGCGGATTGATCACTGACATGCAACTCGCGATCAAATATGGACGCGCTTTGAAGACAAAACTTGTCAAATGATTTTTGTTTCTTTTATTTTTTTCTTGTTTCTTTGTTACTCTTGAATAAAACAGCTGATTGTTGAAAATCGTCTGTTTATCAAATTAGCCACCAATTAGTAGCTATTGGATTGGGGGACGAATTGAGAATCAATTAACTGGGTACGAATTTTGTGGAGGACGAATTGAGAGTCAATTAATGCGGAGGGGACGCGTTGGGGACGAATTGGGGACCAGTTGGGGATGAGTCGAGAGTAACTCTATTATTGTCATCGTCAAATAAAATTTCTTTCTTTCTATCTTATTAATCATACAAATCAAGTAGTTTCAATTTCTATTGAAGATTCCATTCGTGATTTTACATCTATTATTTCTTTCTTTTTCACTCGACATACACTTGAAAATCTTGAACTATGTGTACTTTACTCATCACATTGATCAATATAAATATGAACTCCATTGCAACAATTACCAAAATCTCATTAAACGAAGATCACTTTGATTTATCGTAGCAAATCATACGCAACTTTGTGAAGAAGAGAAACCATATACAAGTCAAACTATTTTAACATATCAATCATCTGCACTTCGCTCGCTCGATTTTGCATTTTACTTCAATCATTCGTATTTAATAACTGGTGTTACTCTTAACTGGATATTAATATCAATGACTTTAACATTCTATGATTTACCTCATCAATTATCAATTTATTGTGTTCTATATGTATTTCATATTTATCATGCATTAAGACGTTTACGTGTATTTATATTAATTCCTGCAAATCCAAATATTCAACATACATAGTAAGTTTTTTTATGAAATGATATGATTTCGTATTAGACTATCTGCAAATTGAGAGAAGAAAATAAGTAGAGTTTTTATTATGATTGATAGTGGTACAGAAAAAGGATTTCATATTTAGCAGAACTTGTTCATTTTACAATGGTAAGACTAGGATTTAAAGAAAAGTATGTGAAACAAAAAATATGTAACCGTAATGGAATTTTTGTCATAACTGATACAGAAAAAGAAATAATTCGTAGTAAACTAATGTAATAGAAAAAAATCTTCCTTCATATATATTCTTACTAATATTTTTATGTTTCTTTGAGGTATGTTCAGATTTCCGAAAAAGGAAATTACAGAAATTTCCGAAGCTTTCATCAAATCGATAACTATTGTCCATCTCAGAGTTAAATGGCTGTGGGTATTTTTTGAATAACTTTTGATAGGAACAATATAGAGATCTGCGGTCTTCATCATTGGAAAGAGCGGATGAAGACGCATCGAATTATATATAGAAAGATTTTCTAGCTGCTTTTCTATAGGCTTTACATAAAACTTTAAGAAGTGTAGCATGCTTTTCATGGTCACGATATTAATTTATTGATTTTCAGGAGTGCGCTAGAATCGCCAAAGGAAGGGCTACAAAACTATAGCAATATCCTGCCTCTAACTACTACCAGTGTGATATCCAAACCATCGGAACATAATTTATCACCTCAGTTTTTTCAATAAAATAATCAAAATATGTAAATTGTTGTAGTATTTTGGTGGAAAGGCCACTTTTTTTAACGTAGAAGAAAACAGTAATTCTTTGAAAACTTTTGACTAACCTTTAGAAAAGTAGTAAGAAAAATCTTTCTATATATAATTCGATGCGTCTTATTCTGCTCTTTCCAACGATGAAGACCGCCGATCTCTATATCGTTCCTATCAAAACTTATTCAAAAAATGCCAACGGCCATTTAACTCTGAAATGGACCATACATAGCAAAGCAAATGAAAATGAAAATGTTTTTGGATATATTGAAAAGTTTAGAATTTTCTGTAATTTCGGAAATTTCGCTACGTACAGAATTTTAGAAATTTCAGAAATTTCGGAAATTATATATTTTTGGGAAGTATCAAAGAATTTAGAACACAAGTGCCTGAAATTTTCAAAACTTCCAAAATTTCCTTCTTCGGAAGTCTGAACACTGCTGGTTTCTTTGTAAGATATAAAATAAAAGATGATTTTTGATGATGAAATAGGATTCTGTTGGTTTTAGACAATATATTATTTTCATCACTGAAAACAGGTTAAAGTAGACCTCTACCCGACCCAAGGCCGGCTAGAAAAGTCGGCTGACTGCAGAGCCCGAAAAATATCAAAACCTGGTCCTATACGACATCTACTATTTCTAAACCCAAGACTTGTGTAGAGGAAATCATAATGAATCTGAATCGTAGATTTCCATCTAAGGAAGATCTCAGCTGTTCATTTTCGTTCATTGTCTAATCTGTATAAACAGTGAAGAGATTTTTTTAAACGTTTGAGACTCTTTCATGGATGAATTTAAGTTATGCAAGACGATAATTAAAGTATATATGCACATAAGATCTGAAATATGAATAGTGTGAGTGAGTGTGGGTGGGGTGTGTGTGCGTGTGTGAACGAGAAGAACAGTCACCCATACACTCATACACCCACACCCGTGTAGGTACAGTGATAGAGTCCCAACAGTATAGGAAGAGTGATATACTTATGAGGATATCGGTAAAATGATATATTCAAAAGAGTATAAGCAGAATGATACATATCTTTGAGGATATAGGTATAATGATATTCTTGTAAGAGTATAGACAGGATGATATATCTATGATGAGACAGGTCGAGGGATACACTCACAACACCATAGACAGAATGATATATCTATAAGGATATACGAGACATCATATACTCACAATGCTAAAGGTAGAGTGCTATCTTCATGAGAAAACAGGTTGCGTGCTTTACTTCAAAGAGGATAGGTAGAGTAATATATCCATGAGGATATAAGTAGCATGGTGTTCTCACAAGACTATAGGTAGAGTGATATATCCATAAGGGTGTGGGTGTGGGTGTGGGTGTGGGTGGGTGTGGGTGTGGGTGTG